CAGGTCAATTAGGCGGTTTGGGGGGAATCAGGGCCTGCCTGCTCACTAGGGATCTTGCCTTAGCCTCTCTGGACTGCAGCTGTCTATAGTGCCTCCTTTAACAGCTGCAACTGACAGCTACAACTCCCTGGGCTACTTCCCCATGGCCTCCTCCAAACACCTTTTTTATTCTCACCACAGGAATTTCCTCCTGGTGTCTGATAACACTTGTGTTCCTCAGTCCTCCAGCAGCACGCCCTCTGACTCTCAGCTCCTTGCGCCTCTTGCTCCCAGCTCCTCACACTCACACCACAAACTGAAGTGAGCTCCTTTTAAAACCCAGGTGCCTTGATTAGCCCGCCTTAATTGATTCTAGCAGCTTCTTCTCAATTGGCTTCAGGTGTCTTAATTAGCCTGCCTGCCTTAACTGGTTCTAGCAGGTTCCTGATTACTCTAGTGCAGCCCCTTCTCTGGTCACTCAGGAAACAGAAAACTACTCATCCAGTGACCAGTATATTTGCCCTCTACCAGACTGCTTTACTCCACTGGTCTGGGTCTGTCACACCAAGTATACTGTATTTGCTAGATCACCCTTGTCCACATCCAAAGAATTCTAATAGATTGGTGATGTATGACTTCCCTTTACAAAAGCTGTGTATATATACAAAAGCTGTGTTGACTCTTCCTCAACATACCATGTTTATCTATGTGTCTGATAATTCTATTCTATTCTGTACTGTTGTTTCAACCAATGTGCCTGGTACTGAAGTTAGACTTACTGGCCTGTAATTGCTAGGATCACTTCTGAAGCCTTTAAAAAATGGTGTTACATTAACTACCCTCCAGTTATATGATATAGAGGCTGATTAAAATAATATGTTATATACCACAGTTAGTAGTTTTGCCATTTCATATTTGAATTCCTTCAGAACTCTTGAGTGAATACCATCTGTTCCTGGTGACTTATTACTATTTAATGTATCAATTTGTTCCAAAACCACCTCTACTGACACTTCAGTCTGGGATAGTTTCTCAGATTTGTTCCGTACAAAGAATAGTGAAAACTGATGCAGAGAATTCATTTAGCTTCTCTGCAATGGCTTTATCTTCTTTGGGTGCTCCTTTAGCACATCAATCAGCGAGTGATCCCATTGACTGTTTGGCAGGTTTCCTGCTTCTCATATACTTCAATATTTTTTGTTAGTTGTTGTGGTATTTAGCTAGTTGCTAATCAAATTCTTTCTTGGTCGGCCTTCTTATATTTTTACTTCACATGCCAGAGTTTATACTTTTTTTGTTTTACACATGTTGAACTTAATTAGATTTCCCTAGTGCAAGCAAGACTGAAGGACTGATAACAGATAAAAGTATTCATAGTTGTTTATAGCCTGATCTTATGTGGTACGCATTCAGTAAATCCATAATCTTTGGGAGTGTAGAGTGTGACCACGCTGCAGAATCAGTTCTATTCTTATGCCTATCTCTGCGAGATTAAATCTGGGGACTATCTCATTTAGTACAGAGGAATCTTGGGTGTTTTAGGCCCAAATTAATTTAAGCAAGGTAACCAGCTTTTTTGCAGTCCCACTATCCAGGATGGTGGAGAAATAAGCTGTTCATGCTCAAATTTCTAGTAGATTGTGGGAGAAGGAGGTTAGTGATCCAACTAGCTAATCTCAACAAAGAAGATTGATGTACAGGTGAGCCAGTCATTTGTCCTGTGAAGACTTCAGAAATGAGGATAATAGGGGGCTATTTAACCTTTTTTTTTGCCAGACACCCTGCCTTAAAAATCCAAGTGGGAGTGGAGGAACTTCAGCACCAAGTTGGATCAGGCCCTTAAATGGGATTTGAGGGACATGTGCACCTCACAGTTCAGAAGCTGCATGAGAAGTAAGTGGGCACTTTCACATACACACACACACAGGATCCTCAATGCAGTAAAAGAAAACAAAGCCACTTTAGAGCTGTTGAACCTTGCCATCTTGGTTTTATAGTGCTTAGGGATTACAAACCGGCAGGTTCAGTTCTTAGAGGTTCATATCTGTTATGGTTAGCATGTGTTTGTCGTGCCACTGGGAGTGAATGCCTCTCTGGAAGCACTCTGCCCTTTGTAGGATTAAGCCTCAGTTAATGGGATATGAGGGTTCTGAGAGACTCTCGGGATCTGGTCATTATTACGTGGTTATAAAGAGCACTTCAGAAACCTGTTCACTTCTTTCACTACACAGAGTAAATAAAAATTGTAGCAAAACCTTATGATCACAGTCATAATGTTAAAAATAAAGCAAAAACATGACATGGAGGTGGAATCGGATACATTCTGCATAAGAGGCACTTTTACAACAGGGCAAATATAGCACTAATTTCAAAGGAAGAGAGCTGCACCTATATTACTATAAATCTTCTGTACTGATATTCTAACTATAATTCTAGCTTCTATATAGTGTAAATATAATATCACTCTAGTGGGGTAATCACCTTTCCAAGAGCTTAATCTTTTCTTTTTTTTTTAACTTGGCCCTGAATATTAAGAACCTCATCAGAAAATCCTAATTCAAAATTGGCTGTTAGGGCTTTTATATCTCTGATTGGATTCCGGTTTTTGATGATGGCCATTTATATGTTGAACTGATGACTGCAGCTTTATGTAAGCAGGTGCATTCCTCGCTGTACAATATCTACTAGCTTCAACAGAGCTGGGAGGCTGGTATGTGAACTCTGATGACAACTGCAGTGGAGTTTAGAATACCACCCCTATAATCCTTTGCATGTGTATCTTGAGGGGATAGTCTAGGCCTAAATTAGGAATCTAAATATATAAATGTAACTAAATGGGGATCAATGAGAAAACCTAGGAGTGTCATAGAAATAACATTGCACAAGAAGGCTGAAGGATTTCTTACTGTTGGTCAACGGAACATAACTTGTCGTTTATCACTCTCACTTGGAAAACTAAAGCTCTGTTTCATTGCTAATGATGAGTGAAATAAGAGGATACAATTAAAAAAAAAGAGAATTTATACTGAAGTATGAGAAGAAAAAGAGATTGCATTCTAAATATAGTAGATAGGACTTTGATATCTGCTATTTGTCTAAAACAAGTTCCGCATGCTCTAGTCGGGACATTCTCTTAGGATTTTGATATCTTTTAACTGTAAGGCACTAGGTGCCCTAAGATATTTAGGAATTTTTCTTTCATAACATCAAGTTCCAAACAAGTGATGAGACAAAAGTGTTTGTGTGTGTGTTTGCTTTTTTAAGTTATCAAATTATGAAAGTACTGTATGACAGGACTAAAAAATCAACCAGGAATTAATAGCTTTTCCACAAAGTAAATTTGTTTGCTTGTTTGTGTTGGCAGAATATGTCAGTGCTTATTTTTTGTTCTTACTGGCACAAAACTGAAAATTATACAGATAAAATTTAAGAAACCTTTCTGAATTGACATTTCAAGATCTCCGAATTTTAGTTAATTCTTAATTTTTGCTTTTCCTTCCACTGTCAATTAAATAAATTATATATACTATTTATTTTTGTTATTTTTAAATCCTATCCTAATAGACAATACTGGGATAATCATTTATACTATGAAACTATTGAAAGATTTTATAATACAAAGTGTTCTACAACCGACAAAAATATTGAAACCAAAATATCGTTCAAAACTTGAGGTACTGTATGTGCTTCAGGGATTCAAAATGAAGTATTGATTATTTATCTTTTCATTTCAGTTTTCTTAGATTAAGTGTCTTATTTCTCAATTCCAGGAGCTGATGCTGTGGAGGCCCAGTGTAAGAGATTTGAAGTGAGGGCAAGTGAAGGTGAAAAGGTGCTGTTTTCTGCAGATGAAGATGAGATCATCATTGGAGCTGACAGACTCAAAGTAACAGGTAGAGTAACAATCAGGTCTCTAAGCAATATTTGTTTGTATTTTTAATAACCCTGGTGATAATTTTACTTAATGAACTTGTATCTCTCAAACTTTCATAAACTCTTTTTCCCATGTCAATGAATGGGTGTATAGGGACAGATTCTTAGCATTAGCAGGGAGTGCTTGAGCTGTTCAGAATAATCTAGGATGAGCAACCAACAGGTGCTGCATAATGTCATGTATGAAAGACATTTTCTAATGCTCAGAATAGGATGACCAGATAGAAAGTGTGAAAAATCAGGACAGGAGGTGGAGGGTAATAGAGGCCTATATAAGAAAAAGCCCTAAATATCAGGACTGTCCCTCTAAAATTGGGACACCTGGTCACCTTAGCTCAGAATGAATGTCTTTGTGACCAGAGTTGAACTTAGAATGATGTTTATATGACCACAAACTGTATATGTTTCATTTGTAACAGGGATGATTTTATATGTCATCATTAATAAAGCATTGATTTATGGTACATGTGCCATTTTGAAAGGTTTTACTTACATAATGCCCCCTCCTAATTGTGTAAGAGCTGCCATTACATAGTATGTTTTGCAGTTCTTCTGTCATGAAAATGTCAAATCTAATTTCTGTATGGCCAAGTAGTACTCCACTAAAGCAGGCTCACCTTGAATTTGAGAAGGGGAAGCCTATTTCTGAGCTGAACCTTCGTCTGGTTAATAGAAGAATTAGAAAGAATTCTCACTTGGGAGGCAAATTACCAAGTTTTGGGCAAATCTGTAAGACATGTCAGTGTAAAATAGATTACCACTAAAGCATCTTTATGCATTCCTGAACATCAATACCTAGAAGGTGCATCAATGCATTATTATATACTTGATTGTAGTGCTTGGTGAGCCTTATAAGGCTCAAATAAGCTAGGTTTAGTTTAGATAAGTATCTAAACTTTCAATACTTACAAAAGCCTTATCTGAACTAGAGCTGGGTCTGAATTATGAAGTTCTAATCCAGAGTCAGATACAAATCTGAACTTCCCCACAATTCAAGTATGTTTGGACTCAGAGTACCAGGTCAGTCCACATTTAAGAGAAGCTTGAATTACAAAGTTCAGATTATGATTCCACTTCTCTAAAATTCAATGGGATAGTTCTGTTTTGAGCCCATATTTAAGTGGAGCTATCTGAACCTCTTTTGTCTGTAAAGTTAAACTGTAAATCCCTTGCAACAATAGGCTTTTTGTGAGATTTTAGAAACTACTACTTCTTTACAGCCAGGCCAGATATATCAAACTGGTTTTCTCATACTATTCTACTACTTCTACTTCCAGTCCAGACTGGATCCAGGAAATCCAGAGGCACAGCCTGGGGGATGGAGGGGGGAGTTAACCAAACTTTCTTTTTAAGTATCAACAAAGATGTCTGTTTACAACAATATTGATTAATAGGTAAAGAATTATTTTTTTATTCACTCCTGTTCTTCCATTCCTACCTGATCTCTACTTATTTTTCACAGCCCACACTTTTCTTCTCATGCTGGTACTTCATAATCAAAGGTGTTCACAGTAGACAATTTAGAAATGCCGTCCAGTGAAGTAGCATTAATTCCATCTGTTTACAAGAATGGGGGATGGGGGAGGGGTTCTTTATTGCTTCAGAGGAGCTCTTCACAGATAGAAGTTTTAGGAGACTTTTATCACAATAGAGGAGACATCGGAAGAACATTAGAAGAAAAAGGCAGAATCATCCTGGAGCCCCACTGGGATCCAATATCCCAGTCAGATTATTAAATATTCAGATATTCAATCTTACACAATTGACACAAGCTTTCAAAGCAGCTATTAAAAGTGAACAAAAGAAAACACATCTGACAAAGGACATAGAAGTGCTAGAGTTGTCACCATTAGGGAAACTAATTATGTACTGTAGATGTGATACATCTTTTGAAAGACTTTGAAAAGCAATTTATTGTATAAGTGAACCTTAACTTCAGTTTATATGGCTAAATTTTCAAAGTGGCTGAGTCTAAGCAGCTCCCATTGACTTCAATAAGACCAGTACGGAAAATCAGACCAATAAAATTGTTCCTTGTGACAAAGGATTTTTTTCTTAATTCATGAAAGAAACCAAAATGAATATATTTAATATTAAGCAAAAAAACAAGTATAGTTTTTTTTTTAAATACTGAAGATTTTACCTTACTCACAAAGGCCAGGAAAATTTGAGTTAATGCTGCTTTGACACCTTTAGCTGAGTTTCAGGGATTACTGTATATATATGGTCCTCTACCACAGGATCTCATGATATTAGAGTGAATTGAAGTAGCTATGGCCTAACGTTTATCTGTGTATACAGTGGCTGCTAAGTGCAAACTAAGCCCTGATTCTGCAGTCACTTATGCACAGGCTTAGCTTTACTCATGTGAACAGTCCCACTGAGTTTAATGGGAACTACTCATGTGAGTAAAGCTGAGCATGCGTGTAAGTGTCTGCAGGGTGAGGGCCCAAGAGAATACTGCATATACCTTGGTAATGCTATCTACTGGTACTTTACGCAATAGAAAAGTTCTCAAGTTTCACTGCTTTATGAACTAAGGGCCAGATTGATAAACATACTCATCAGCTCCGATTGTTTTCAGCAGGAACTGCTGAGTGCTAAGTACATTTGAAAAGCTGTCCCTAGGTATGCAGATGGATCTTCTCTGGAACACAGGTGCAGATTCACTAACTGATCATAGTGAATGAATTTATAAAGCAATATAGGGGTGTGCAAATGCTGGAGACAACCTGGGTAAATTTTGGCCTGTTTGTTTTTATTTTTGGAACAATCTTTTTGATTTGTGGGAGTTTGGATATATTGGAGATTGCTAGAGCAGGGTGAAATTTTTCGAAAGCATAGTTTATTTGCTAAATAAATGCAGTTTAGTCAACCTGAAACTATTTGTGATTTTGACACAAATTTGCTGAACATTTTGGGCCATGAAAAAAAAGGGATAGATTCACAAAATGGCTGGAGAGGAGGTGCCCACCTTATAACTAGGTTAGAACATTCACCTAGGATGTGGGAAACCCTGGAATTTGAACCAACATCTCCCTACTTCCAGGTGAGTGCCCTAAACAACAGATTATAGGCTATTCCGGGCTCTATACATTCAACAGAAGAGACCGAAAGCAACTCAGCTTATGTAAATGATTATATATTCTTTGGAGGAGGGACTTGAACCTGGACTTCTCATCTCTTAGGTGAGTGCCCTAGCCACCATACTATGGCGTGTCTGTCTGTCCATCCATCCATCTGCTCAGCCCCTCCCCCCGGACAATTCAGCTATTTTATATAAAGTGGAAGAACTTCTGCAGCAGAACTTGAGAACTCAACCCAAGAATAATATATAGCCTGCTGATTAAGGCATTCACCCTGAAGGAAGGAGGCCTACCCTCCCTCTTTGGAGGAGGGATTTGAATCCAAGTCTCACCTAGCCCTTTAAAAATGCTTGGAAACAAAACATTTCAGGTTGAACAACATGCATTTTTTAGCCCAAAACAAATGTTTTTTGATTCACTGAATTTTTGGATTTGGTTTGGTCTGAACTGATTTTTTTTCTCAGAGCTGTCAGTGAAATGAAAAATCAATTATTCTCCAAGCTGTGGAGATGAATGGTAATTGTACAGTACTAGTCATTGATGGAAAGTGTTAGTAGGGCATTTTCTAATGCAGCAGAGTCCTTGCTGTTGCTATGGTGTAGTTTAGCATCCAAGTTATTTACTGATGACCGAGATTTTCTGCTTATGTTTTTTAGCTTGAGGTGAGTATTCTTGGGCTTTTTGCTTTCTTTGGCTGGTATATCTTGGCTGGGTGTAGCACCAAACTCCAGACCTTAAAGTGCTGCTATTTACTAAATATATTATCTCTAGTTCCCATTGCCTCCTGTGCCCTACCTTTCTCAATGTAAGGACAGAGCTGTGCGAAATATACATTGAAGTGTAAAACTGGTTAAAAATTGTGTATGTATAGATAGGTGATTGCATTTATTTGCAAACTTAAAAACTCACCTATTCCTGTTAGAAAAAAATCATTAAGGGTACTACACTGTACACAGAATCTTCCCATTTTCAGATGTTAATGCATGAGTTTTTAAGAGAAATTGGGCCCATTTTCAATTTAAAAAATACTTTGCACCAGAACATGCAGCAGTTTGTATTTTCACTTTTTTTAGTTTAAAAAAAAAAAGCCATTTTATAAACATTTCACAAAAAGCAAAATGTGTGCATGGAAATCAGATAAAATGAAGCGAAGCCTATATATATATAAAATGATGAGGCCTAAATTAGCTGTTATCATTGTGACAGACCCAGTCCAGTGGGGTAAAGGAGTCTGGTCCTATTGGGATCAGGAAGTGGGCGGGCAAAGCCCGCCCACTGCTAAAGGATCCCCCCCCTAGCCGAAGAGGGGGTCCACAGGACCTGGAGACCAAAAAATTACGGGGGACAACTAATAAAGGAACAGGGCTAGGAGTGAGGTCAAAGGGTCAAATGAAGGGAACCAGATAGGGACACCGAGCAGAGAACCCCAGAAAGCGCCCACTGCTCCTCAAAGGCGTCAAGGAAGCCAGTGGACGCCGCCCAGAGGAACTCTTCCCGGATACGTGAAAGAACGGAGGACCTGAAATACACCCCACAGTCACAGGAGACTCCATCGGCCAACCTCCTCACTTTGTGAAGGAGCCGCAAACTGATGTCCCCGGTGGGCTTCGGGATCAGAGCAGAATAAAGGTTGGCCCACCGGGGCTCCTCACCCTCCAGAGGTGGCAGAAGGTCCCGCCACTTCGAATCAGGGCGGGACGCGAGGGTGAGGACATGAAGAACATGGAGCACGAGCATGTATAGATGTTTCCTTGGCGCGGTCTGGAACAGAACCGGCTGCAGATTGTGCAGCCGGCTCATGTTGAATGGACGGGGAGGGGGCCGGTTGGGTCCACAGGGCAGGGGCCCGATGAAAAAATCTGAAGAGCTCGGAG